CAGAACACAGCCAAGCTCCCACCCAATCAGCTCCAACCCCACTGGCAGTTAAAAGGAAGAAACAGCTGCGACCACACACCACTCTTAGAAGCACGAAGCTGAAGACACCAGCCTGAAGATGACGAATGTGACTTCGTCGAAACGTCGCCAAGGTACTTTTAATTCTACGCGGGAGAAAACCCGAATAACTAAAGACCTATATATATATATATATATATATATATATATATATATATATATATATATATATATATATATATATATATATAAAAGGTAAAAAAGGATATATGCAGTGTTATCTTCATTTTAGATATCAAAAAGGGTTGGCGGCTCCCAGTGTTTTGTTTTCGGTGGGAAATGGGTCCAAGTGGCTCTTTGAGTGTTTTGGGTTGCCTACCCCTGAGCTAGTCTAAAGAAAAGAAGAAATAGGGGAGACATGATAGCAGTATTCCAGTATTTGAGGGGCCGCCACAAAGAAGAGGGGGTCACATTATTCTCCAAAGCACCAGAGGGCAGGACAAGAAACAATAGTTGGAAACTGATCAAAGAGAGAAGCAACCTGGAAGCAACTTCCTAACAGTTAGGACAATTAACCAGTGGAACAGCTTGCCTCCAGAAATCGTGGGCACAACATCACTGGAGATTTTTAAGAAGAGACTAGACAGTCACTTATCTGAAATGGTATAGGTTCTCCTGCTTGAGCAGGGGACTGGGCTAGAAGATCTCCAAAGTATCTTCCAGCTCTATTCTATTCTAATTATCCACTTGCACATAAACTCATAAAACAATACGCTTTTTTTCTAAATTTTGCAAGACATTTTGTTCTCCTAGAAGACAAAACAATTTCCCATTTTGGAAATAATGTGAACAGAATATGGGTAGAGGCAAGAAAGAAATGCTCAGCCCTTCAGAAATTGGGCTGCTATTCAGCTTCCTCATATTTTCATATAATCCGATCTTCCTACTTTCTCTATGTCTTGGGTTTCAGCTCAAAAAGTAGTACTTTTCAGCTGATTGTAACACTCTCCCATCCCAAATCCCAAAGGGATGAGATTCTGAACCTTACTTCATGCTGCGCTCCTGAAATAAAGCCCAAAGTTGTCAGGAAAAGGTAGATGGTGGCTTTTGGAATTGTGTATGTAAACAAACCTCAGAGCTTAACAAGACAGAATGGTAGGATTTGTTCTGTTTCAAGGCTGAAAGAAAGTCCTTCGTCTTGCCAGCCAGAGGGTAGTGGAGCAGTTACTACCAGGGCGGTTATGGGTAATATTATGAGCCTCTAATCTAATCCTCTAAATTCTCACTATCTATGGACTTCAGGCAGTCCTAGACTTACAACCATTTGTTTAGTGACCATTCAAAGTTACAATGCACTGAAAAACGTGACTTGTTGTTCACACATATGACTATTAGAGCATCACTGTGGTCATTTGATCAAAATTCGGATGCTTGGCAACTTGTTCATACTTATGACTGTTGCTGTGTCCCACGGTCATGTGATCACCTTTTGCTAGCTTCTGACAAGCAAAGTCAATGGGGAAGCCAGATTCACTTAACAACTGTGTTACTAATAGTAACTGCAGTAATTCACTTAACAATTTTAACAAGAAAGGTTGTCAAATGGGGCAAAACTCATTTAACAACTGCCTTGCTTAGCAACAGAAATGTTAGGCTCAATTGTGTTCATAAGTCAAGGACCAGTGCTTTTTTTCTAAAAAAAAAAAAAAGTGCTGGAACTCTCACATGTCATACAACCCGCCTTGCCTACCCTACAAAGTTCCATCCAAAAAAGGTGCCGGAACTCCGTTCTTGACATTCTATGAGAAAAAAAAAGCTCTGTAAAGGACTTGGAAAAAGCCATCTACCTGGTTTGATGTGATTATACAACCCCCATGGATACTGAGATATTGTCATGCTGGTTGTGTCATCCATGATCTATAGAATCACACATCAAGTAAAATGACTGTCCTTTGTGCATTTGTTTAAAATAAGTTTGAAAAGTATAAAAATAAGAACAATTTGATGGCCTGTTAAAAATAGTTTATATTTAAACAGTGGCTATGCTGGGAAAAGAGTTTACGGTAATTCAAACAATTCCTCAGCACCCAGGTTTTGACGGTTTGTTTGTAGGTTTGTTTGTTTTTTTAGTTTTGGAAGACACATTCTTCTCCAATTGCATTCTGAGGCACTAAAGTCCAGTAACTTCTTCTAAACATTTACTGGTTTACTAATATCTGGTGTCCCTATGCAGAAAGGTATTTATTCAATAGCAGGTCATGGATCTGAATTCCCTGCAAAGATTATGCCATGAGATGCAAACATTTTGTAAGAATGTGCAAAATGAGAAATAGATTTTCAATATTCATGCTATTACTTTAGAATCAGACTATCTTTTGCCTTGTTACTTATTTCAGTTTCTGTTTTTAAAAAGGATCTTCTTTACCTTTGTTGCTTATAAACAATACTGGCTTATTCATACTCTAGTGTAGCATAAATTGGTCCAGTCAAGTTAATAGCCAGATGATCAAGCAGATTTTTTTTAAAGACTCCAGAAAAAAATGAGTCTATCACTTTTATTTCCTCTTTTAGGTTGGAATGAACTGCTGATTGCCTCTTTTTCTCATCGCTCTGTTTCTGTGCAGGATGGTATCTTACTGGCCACCGGCTTACACGTGCACCGGAGCAGTGCACACAGTGCTGGGGTGGGTTCCATATTTGACAGGTATGCTTTTATTCTTAATTCCAGCATTTGCATTTTCCTAGATGACTTCTGGTTAGTTTTGGTAGAGTAAGAAAAGCTTAAATAAGGAAAATGTATTTCTGAAATCTGTAGGAAAGGAAAGATTGCCTGGGTTCATTCAGGGGGACACTTGTGAAACTTCTCTGCTCTATTTTTTTCCCTTCAAAAAAGTTTTTAATTTTCAGAAATAGCCTTGGGGCTCACTCATATACCAATATATAACATGTTGTTAGTTCCCTGTTTTGCATATTATTCTGCAATTTCTTTGTAGATGGTTGGTTTCCAGCATTAATTTTTGTTCTTCTGCTTTAGGGATCAAGAGAAATAATAATAAAAAAATCAAACCGATATTGACATTTTTTATCGACTATCCATTTCTTCTTACTCTTACTCCAAGAGCATGAGTGGAAATGATCCAGCTTCTATGAATGGGACAGCATGTATGAATGAATTTAAATTCTTTCTATTTACTGCCCATTAGCTGTAGCCTTGGGCAAAAGCCGCAGCTTAAGAAACCCTAGTTAAATTCTCTTTATGAAAATATTAGTGGTCACTTTATTAAAAGTGTACTGATTAACAAAAATATGGGATCTTATTTTTTCTGCAAGATTATATGTACATATTGCCTATAAAAGAGCATATCTCAATTGCATGCCTTCCTCCTCTGTGATCTGATCATTATGAGACAACGTCAAATAATAATGGGTATGTTTAACACAGGTCTTTTACAGGAACAGCAATTCCTTTTTCTGATGAATGGAATATGTTGATCTAAAGAAGATAAGGGAACATTTCAGTTTCCACCTATGTAGCCTAGATAACTAGGTAGTATATTATAAGAAAGAGGAAATACAGATAGATGCACAGGCATATTCTAAGTGTGCAAGCCACAGAAAGGATTAATAAAGAATTATCAGCGAGGTGGAATAAAATAAATTAACTTTAGATAGGTGTTATGGTAGGCTAAGCATATTTTATGAAATCCATATAAAATTAGCACTGCAAGCATAATAGACAATAGGAGATTGGAAGGAATGATCTGCACCTCTAGTTGCTCAACCAGATTAAGAAGATGAACACTTTATAAGAGTTTTTCATTTGTGGCTTTAGTTATAGTTTTTCCTAATTTAATTCAAGTGTTCCTTTAGAGTTGTCCTCTTTTGGAATAAATACATAAAATAATTGGGACAAAAATATGAAAGACATTGCAAAGTAATGAAGGCATGATATCACTTGACTGATACAGTTATTTGTTTAATGTATTTGGTACTGCCCCATTCCCAATAGAATCCTGATGATATACCACATAAAACATATTCAGACAGAATGAAAATTACACAGCAATCTCTAAAATTGCCAGAATTATACTAACATGGCTGTATCCCAGCTCTAACATTTAACCATTAACTCTTGAAAGTTCTCTTTCCATCAACAGCCTAAATCCTGGCAGGGAAGATGACATACTGATTTCTACAAGAAGTCTGTTCCAGAGAGTTGGAGACCCCATAGAGAAGCACTAACTTCTCCCTCTTCCCACAAATTTCTCACAAGAGCACCCTCCTCTAGGACATACAAACTGAATGAGTGGGTTTTAGTTGAAATAGATAATTCTGCAGGTATCTGCATTCGAAAACATTGAGGGCTTTTATCACTGCTTAGATTGAAATCCTAGCTTGAAAAAGGATAAAAAACAGAATTGAGCATCCATTTGCATGAAGATTATTTCCGTTTTAAAAAATTCAGATTTTCCACAACCCTGAAAATAGATGGGAGAACTACTGCAAAAATGCAGGTTTACTCTAATTGATTATAGTGTTACATTGATGCTCCATTAAACAACAACAACAACAACAACAACAAAAAACAGCTCCTGGTAATTCCACACTAAACCATGGAATGGGATAACTGTCCGTGGCCATCTCACAGGACAACTTGCTGCAAACAACTCACCGTGGGACAATTCCACATGGGATAACTCCACATGATAAATGTTATTTGCCATGCTTCTTTGATATATTTCCATTTTTGTGGAAATGGACAAAAATGAAAATAATGTTGAAGAAACAGTGGCAGATAACATTTATTGCATTGAATTATCCCGTGTGGATTTTCCCCCATGGGGAGTTGGCCATGGCAAAATGGCCATGGCGAGTTGTCCTAGACCCACTTAACTACCACTTAGAGTAGAAGCACCAGTACTGCATATATATAACTTGATTCATTCATTCCCCTTCTCCCTTTTCTCTGTATGCAGGGTTCTTACTGAGTTAGTATCCAAAATGAAAGACATGCAGATGGACAAATCTGAACTGGGGTGTCTGCGAGCCATTGTCTTGTTCAATCCAGGTTAAGTATTGATTCTTGGGAAGGCTGCCATCTTCCTTAGGAAATTCTCATGCCTCTCTACACCCAGCTAATTTAGCCATTGGCTATCTTGGATTCTGAGGAGCAGCCAGTATTTTTTTTCTTGTGACTTTTTATAATTGATTTCTTTTTGTTGTTGTTTTTTAAATTGACTTTCAATGTTTGCCATTATCATGTTGCATTTACTGAGGCAGCAATGATCTATAACCGTGGTGGCGAACCTATGGCATGCGTGCCACAGGTGGCACGCAGAGCCCTCACGCGCCATCACCCCTAGGCCTTCAGTCCTGTCCATGAGCAACCTGCACTAGGGTAAGGTTGCCGTGCCTGCCCCTGCCTCCCCCAAGCATTTTTTTTACTAACCTGCCTTTCAGCTGCATTCCGTTTCTCCGTTCATTTCTCAGTCTTTGCTGCGTGTTTGTGGGACTATCGGTAAAAAAAAGAAAGTTCCATCAGACTTTCTAACTTTTCACAAGATCTCAAGAAGTTAGAAAGTGAACGGAGAAATGGAATGCAGCTGAAAGGAGGTTAGTAAAAAAATGCTTGGGGGAGGCGAGGGAATCTGGGCAGGCGCGGCAATCTTACCCTGCATGGTGGCAGTAGGGTGGGGCATGTGCCCTTCCCATGCCAGGCCAAGTCACCTGCAGCCCCAGGGTTGCTCCTCTGATCATGCGTCACCCCCCCATCACACCTTTAGCGAGTGGCAGGATTAACGGGTCTGTGGGGCCCGGGAGGAGCTGCACAAAGCAGGCGGAGGGGAGGCCGGGCAGACTGCGGGTGCCACTCCTCGCCTCCTCTGCACTGCCGCCGTCGCCGCTGCTGCTTTGGCCAAAGCGACCCAGCCGTTGCTGCCACTGTCACAGTCCCGCCCGGCTCTGCGCTGCCATGCCAGTGCCCCGCTCCGGCCCCGGGCACTGCCTCTGCCCCACTCATGCCTGCTCTGAGCCCGCAATCGGCCTCTGTGCCGCTGTCGCCACAGTCCCGCCTGGCTCTGCCGCTGTCATGCCGCTGCCCTGCTCTGGCCCCAGGCAGTGCCTCTGCCCTGCGTGGCTGTCCCACTCACGCCCGCTCTGAGCCCGCGATTGGCCTCCACACTGCTGGGTCGCGCAATGGGGGCATGTATCTGGGCAGCTTGGGCGAGAAGAAGGTGGGCTTAGTGGGGCTGGACCCTGGTGCCCCCGAGTCCTCCCGCAACGGGCCCCTGCTGATCGCCGACTCCGAGGGCACCTGGAACCCAACGATACATAAGTGGGTTTTGGGTTGCAGTTTGGGCACTCAGTCTCTAAAAGGTTCGCCATCACTGATCTTTAAGAAACAATGGGGGGGGGTAGATGTATGGAAGATGAATTTCAAAGAGGAAAGAGAAATGGAATGCTACATGGAATAGAATAGAGCAGAAGGGACCTTGGAGGTCTTCTAGTCCAGCCCCCTGCTCAAGCAGGAGAACCTATAGCATCTCAGACAAGTGACTGTCTAACCTCTTTTTAAAAATCTCCAGTGATGTTGTGCCCACGATTTCTGGAGGCAAGCTATTCCACTGGTTAATTGTCCTCACTGTTAGGAAGTTTCTCCTTAATTCCAGGTTCTCTTTGATTAGTTTCCAATCATTGTTTCTTGTCCTGCCCTCTGGTGCTTTGGTGAATAATGTGACCCCCTCTTTGTGGCAGCCCCTCAAATATTGGAATACTGCTATCATCTCTCCCCTATTTCTTCTTTTCTTTAGACTAGCCAAACCCAAGTCCTGCAAACGTTCTCCATATGTTTTAGTCTTCAGGCCTTTGATCATCTTAGTTACTCTTCTCTGAATTTTTCCCTAACTGTCAACATCTTTTTTGTGATATGGTGACCAAAATTGGCTGCTGTATTCCAGGTGTGGTCTTACTAGGGTTTTATAAAGCGGTACTAATACCTCACGTGATCTTGATTCTATGCCTCTGTTTATACAACCCAGGATTGTATTAGCTTTTTTGGCTGTTGCTGCACACTGCTGGCTCATGGTTAAGTGATCGTCCACTAGGACGCCAAGGTCCCATTCACAGTTGCTGTTTTTAAGCCAGGTCTTGCCCAATCTGTACTTGTACCTTTGATTTTTCCGGTCTAAATGTAAAACTTTGCTTTTCTCCACATAAAACCCATTTTGTTGGTTAGGGCCCATTGTTCAAGTTTGTCAAGATCTTTTTGGATCTTGAGTTTGTCTTCTGGGCTGTTGGCTACTCCTGCCAGTTTGGTGTCATCTGCAGATTTGATGAGTTCCCCTTCAATTCCCTCATCTAAGTCATTGATGAAGAGTACTGGGCCTAAGACGGAGCCTTGTGGTACCCCACTGCTTACTTCTCTCCATGTGGATGTAGTGCCGCTGAGGACTATTCGTTGAGTACAGTTTGCCAGCCAGCTACAGATCCATTGGTAGTGATGTTGTCTATTCCACTTTTTTCTAGCTTACCAAGGAGTAGGATCTACTTAATCAAATGTCTTACTGAAGTCTAAGTATACTATGTCCACAGTATTTCGCTTGTCTATTAGTTTAGTCACTTTGTCGAAGAATGAAATAAGATTGGTTTGGCATGATCTGTTTTTAGCAAACCCATGCTGGCTACTGGTTATAACTTTGTTTGCTTCTAGTTGTTCGCAGATCTGTTTTTTGATTATCTTTTCTAGGATCTTCCCAGGTATTGATGTTAAATTGATTGGTCTGTAGTTTCCTGGGTCCGTTTTTCCCCCTTTCTTGAAGATGGAAACCACATCAGCCCTTTTCCAAACCTCAGGTACTTCACCGGTGGTCCAGGATTTTTGAAATATGTGGTGCAATGGTTCTGAGATAACATCTGCCAGCTTCTTCAGAACTCTGGGATGTAATCTGTCAGGCTCCGGTGATTTATATTCGTCAAGGTTGGATAGGTGTTCTCTTACCATTTTCTTGCTTATTTTAATTTTTGTTTCTAATTTGTTTTTTGCAGTGGTTTTTTTGGTATGTTGGGCTATAATTTCTTTTTTTGTGAAGACTGATGTAAAGTATGAGTTAAGCAGCTCTGCTTTCTCCCTGTTGCCTGTTATTTCCTTGCCATCTTCTCTCTTTAGTGGACCTACAGGTTCCTTGACTTTTTTCTTGTTGTTAATATGTTGGAAGAAACTTTTTTTTATTATCTATGATTTCTGTTGCAAGTCTTTGTTCATTCTGAGCCTTTGCTTTCCTGACTTCATCTTTGCATGTTCTGGCTGTCTGCTGATAATCGGTTTCCATTTTTTGTATTTGTCCTTTTTGTCTTTCAGTTTGTCAGAGAGATCTTTGTGCAGCCATACTGGTTTCTTCTTGAATTTCTTGTTTTTCTTTTTCAGTGGTATTGTGCTGGTATGGGCTTTTATGATCGTATTTTTCAGAGTTTCCCATGATTCTTGGGTTGTTTTCCCCTTTAGGATTTTCATCCATGGGATCTTTCCTAGGTTCTCTCTGAGTTTGTTAAAGTCAGCTCTTATGAGAAGAGTAGTTGAACAGAAATGGGGAGGAGGTTGGCAGGAGAAAAAAAAGAGAAGTGATTCTCCCTTCTCAAGATAGAAAGGAAAATGGGACTGCTGACATTGTCTCAGTGTTCAGTATTCACCATGTTACAACTTCTCAAGTTGCAACTGTAACTATGCCATTATGCTATGAAAAAGCTACATGTCTTTTCATGGATTTCGTAAAATGGGTAATAAAGTTTATTAATATTTCATAAAACGGTTAGATTTTCTTCATATAATACATAATTTAAGAATCAATATGATTTTTTCTGGTGAGATTACTACTTGTCCTAAATGGTGCAACATTTTCATCCTTAAGGACGACTGCAGGGTTTTTTTAAAAAAAAATTGGATACTGTTGTTTCAGGGACTGGAATATTTGTCCCTCTTTTTAATCATTTCCCTCTATTGTCACTGCATCAGATGCCAAAGGCCTGTCCAGTCCTGCAGAGGTGGAATTGCTACGTGAGAAAGTTTATGCTACTCTGGAGGCATACACAAAACAGAAGTACCCTGAGCAACCTGGAAGGTAAATAGAAATTGCTTAGGCTGCTTAATGCATAATGATGTGAAGATGTTACAGAATTACATCAACCATGATGTTTTTGTATCCTTAGCTTGAGCTTATATTGAACAACATGTTGAGCTATTCTAGAAGAATATTGAGTCATAAATAAAATGAATAAATACTCTTTTTTTCTGTGACTGAGCCTTCAACTCCAAACTGCAACTGGAAATATTGTAGGTGTCTTCAGACAACCTAAAGAGAGAAAGGAGGAAGGAGGGAAGACAAGGGGTAGGTTAGTGTGAAGTAGAATATGAGCTAAAATTGCCCAATTAGCCTCATGATTAAAACAGAGATTTATACCCAGTACTCTATGATCAAATTTAGACGTAATATCAAATTTTTAAGCATCTTTTGTCAATATTGAATACTTTGTTTCTGCTGTTTAGAATTTAAGTACATTGCATTATTTTTCTAGTACATAAGAAAAATAGTACTGAGACATTATTCAGGTAGATACATACTGTATTTCTTCTGGGTCTCCATTGCTCAAGAAGGAAAATAAAGTTTGCCATGGGAATCAGAGGCAATCTTTGGATGCATTGCCTTTTTTCAGCTGAAGCTGGCAATCAAAACTTCTCTCTCTGTTCCCGCCATCCCTCCAAAGACCTTGTAAGGTTATTAGTGCCCTTACCTTAATACAAGCCCATTTTACTCCTTCTTCTGCTCCTTCTGCTCTGATGGGTGAGAGTGATGCTCTGATGGGTGAGAGTTTCTAAGGAAGGAGATCCTCAAAGCACAATCGTACAAGATTTGGGGAATCCTACTATGCAAGATTTATGTTAACAAAGTTGATCTTACAAAATTTTGGCTATACATGAACTAAAAGCACAGTCACAAACAATTTCAGAGAGGGAAAAAACATGAAAAACAGCAAAGGAGCATTGTGACTAGACAAAAAGCTTGGTGAATATCTAAAAATTTTAAAAACCATATAGAGGAGGTGGAAATATAAACAGGTCACCAAGAAAATGTTGATTTGATGGCATGAAAGTTGCCAGGAAAGCTAAATCTCAAAATGAACCTGGCAAAGGATGCTAAGAATTATTTTAAACAAAGGAATTAAAGGAAAATATTCAGTATATCAGAAATTTTATGAAAACGGTACAAGGATAACAGGTAATAGAAAGAGGGCAAAACTGATAAACTCCTCATTTTGCTTCATCTTTTCTTAAAAGAGGACTTGAGTTACACTGGATGACCATAGGAACTGATTGAAAGAGTAAGATTTCAGCTCAAGCATAGACACGGCATAGAATACCTATTGACTTTTAAGATATTGAAGAAACTTGCTCATGGTTGATTGGAGGAGAACAAAGATTTCCATCTTCAAAAAGAGGATGGTTCCCAAAGAACTAAATATCAGGCACTTTGACATTAAGGATTCAAAAACAGGACAAAAAACAATAAATCTGTAAGTATCTGTAAATAAAACAATGCAGTGGTTACTAGACATTGACATGTCTTTGTCTAGAATAAATCTCACCAGACTAACCTAATCTCAATTTTTGAACTTGGCAAACTACCAGGAAATTCATTCAGTAACCTAGCTGGCCTTAGAAATCTAAATGCATCCAAGGTCAGTCAATATTTCCTGATTATGCTGTTGTCAAGCTCAGACTCAAATGGTGCTTTTTAATCAGCGGAGTATCCTGCCTTTTAGGAGCAAAGTATTTTATCTTTTCTTTGTTATTTGCTATCTTTTGCCATCTTCCCAGAGTAACTAGCGTAATGTTTATTTTCTCTTAGTTTCATTTTGAACGTGTCTAAAGAGCACTTGGGTTTTTCTTCACATGCTTCATTAACTTCCACTCATTTTGAAGCTGAGGTTTCCTGACATTGTCTTTGCAAATTTGAACTACCTCTGTGTGTTGTTTGGTGTCCTATGTATGTATGTATGTATGTATGTATGTATGTATGTATGTATGTATATATGCAGGTCTTCGTGTATTCGGGTCTTTTCCCGTGTAAGATTGAGTGTATCTTGGTGACGTTTTGACGAGGTCCCACTCGTCATCTTCAGGCTGGGGTCTTCAGCTTCGTGCTTATGCAAGCAAAGTGTGATCGGAGCTGCCGTCTCTCTGTAAATATTGGTGGGGGTGTGTGGAGTGCTGGCTTAGTTGCTGTAGGTGGATTCGTTGGCTGTGTGGATTGGTTGGCTGTTATTGTTTGCTGATTGTTCAGTTGTTTCGTAACATCCTGAGTAGTTGAGGTGCTGGCTGTGTGCCCATTAGTCTTTTGTGTTATAACGACCTGGGTAATGGGTTGTGTGATTACATCTACAGCAACTAAGCCAGCATTCCACACCCCCCATCAATATTTATAGAGAGACGGCAGCTCCGATCACACTTTGCTCGCACAAGCACGAAGCTGAAGACCCCAGCCTGAAGATGACGAGTGGGACCTCGTCGAAACGTCGCCAAGATACTCTCAATCTTACACGGGAAAAGACCCTAATATGCCAAGACCTGCATACCTGTACCCGTGAAAATCTACATATATATATATATATATATATATATATATATATATATATATATATATATATATATATATATATATATATA